GTTGGGGCAGAATCCCTATTCTCTTTCAAAAGGAGCCGAGATAGATATTCAAAAGAAGAGTAAAAAAAAAAAACTGGTCACTCAATCCATGACTGTTTGTGGGACTTTGCTGCGTGCAATTAACTGCTACGTTTCTCCCACAAAATATACAGTCAATTCGCTTTGCCGTATATTCTGTGGAGCGCTTTGAGATGTTTCGAAGGCTTGATAAGGTGCGATATCAAATGCAAGGTTTGTTATTATTATTAAACTACGGGGTTATGGGGGAAAGGACAGGAAAATGGGACTGAAAGGATTGCTCTTTAATAAAGCCATCAGACACAATGGGCCGAATGGCCTTCCTCTGTGCTGTAAATTTCTGTGGTTCCCGGTTTATAGGTTTTTTTTTTGGCCTCATTCAGTTCAGACTATCTCATTGAAGTTCTGATATCGCCACACTATTTGTTTCTTCCTCACTGTGAGCAATTTGGGTATCACGATGCGCTCATACGGCTTGGAAAAGTCAAGACGGGACATTTTACGAGAGAATAATAATAATTGCACTCTACTCATAAAACAACACTGCAAACATAATGGACCTCGCTTTGACGATGTTATTTATGGCGACTCTTTAACTGGGTTCCTTAAGGAGGAATCCTTCATTATGTGACTATCGACAAGCAATGATTGACACAGCACCTCGGAATTCGCAGCGTGTAGTTACAAACTAAAACAGATATCCTCAAGTGGTTCCAAAGCGTAAATATCAGCTCAAATTTCAGCTGCCTTGAGATTTATAGCATCATCTGCATTCCCTCGATCAGATGACTTACTTCTTGTTCTTTTATTATTCTGCATAAATCACATGCCGGGAATCCCAGTGGTGGATGTTCTATGGGTCGGGACTGACTGGCATTTAGACAGGAGGGAGAATAAACACACTCATCCTTTGCTCTCAGATTCTAGAGCAATGTCACCTGGATGCTCTGTGGGATCCCTACACTGCTGCTGTTATACTATATCTGGCTCGGTTGGTAGAACTCTCGCCTGCGAGACAAAAGGTTGTGGGCTCGAGCTCCACAGCAGGTCTTTCAACGCATATAGTCTAAAAGCTGACGCTCCAGTGTGGTGCTGGGGGGCTGGGGCGGGGTGTTGTTGGAGGTGCCGTCCTTCGGATGAGACGTGAAACCCGTCTGCCTGTTCAGGGGAAGGCTAAAGATCCCACGGCACAGTACGAAAAGGTGTTCCCGGCCTCAGATAAAATGGGTCATTCCCTTCGAGGCTGTTTGTGGGACTTTGCTGTGCGCAAATTGGCTGCCATGTTCTTCTCCCACACAAGAAAATGCAGTCGCTCCACTTTATAGTATATCCTGTGAAGCACTTTCAGCCGTTCCTCCTGGTGTGTCAAACGTGAGGATAATTATTTTTCTTATTACTGCGTTTCTGTAAAGCAGGCTGCTTAGCCCTGGTTAGCCTGAAAAGGAAGCTGTATTCTCAAACTACTCACAGCATGAGACAAGTCCTTTCAGGATTGTAGGGAGGAGAGTGACTGTTTAAATGCTGTGTACAGAATTATGTGCCCTACCTTTTAAAAGGACAGTGATGCATGACTTAAATTCATGACAGCCATGGATAATGTGATTGCAAGCAGGTTATTTTACTTGGACTCTGACCATGCAACTAGAAGACTTGAATGTGAAATTAAACAGCCTCAAGCGAGATCACAGATAAGATTTGTTTTCNCCCCCCCCCCTACAGAGCAGTGGATATGTAGAATACATCCCAGCAAAACCAGTGCAAAATAAAAATTATAGCGCCTTATCACACCATTGAGACGTCTCAAAGCGCTTCACAGAATATACTGTAATGTGAATTGATTGGATATTTTGTGGGCGAAACGCAGCAGCCAATTGAGCACAGCAGTGTCCTACTGGATTGACCGACCAAATTCTTCTGTTTTTTAAAGGGATTTTATTACCCCCAGAAAGCGATCTGCCAATTGACTAACAACCGGATTCCTACTTATTGTTAGGTAAACAGAGGCGTGGGGAGTAAGGAAACTTGCCTCAGGTTTTGCCCAGCCCGCGAATCAAACCCAGGTCCTCTCGCTTATGAGGTGAGCGCACTAACCAATACGCTAGATGACTCCATATACGCTACAGGGCTCCACGTAAAGCTTCATTGATTAGTCCTACTTGCAAAATAAGGGCCACACAGACATCTGTCGAAGTTCAAATTAAAAAAACCTTGAGATTACCATTCAAGATCAAATTCTCTGTGCATAGCGGTGGTTCGTGCATTGCTGTAGCCATGGATGAGTCACACACAGTGCAAAGGGAGACGTGGATTGAAAGGATGAATTAGTATTCGAAAGTTTTGCTTGATTTGGCCAGGGAGATGTTTTGTCTTGCCGCAGATTGGCTTGTAGTTGCTTTGCCTCCCTCAAGACGGTGGGTGACTTGGGAAAGAGAACGTGACAAGGCAAATCGTGCAATGGGTTGTGGAGGGAACAGAACCCTTTGAGCCACATGTTTTTTTTCTCTCATTCCCTGCTTTCACGCTCTTTTGTGAAGATGGGGAAAAGAATATATTTTTGCACGGTTAAATCTCCTTTGAGCGAGAAGCATCGAGATTTCACAGCTTCATGTTGCGGGCCTGTCTGTGAGCATCTTATTTATTTTCCAAATAGAGAATTATCGACAGGAGTCGATATGGATTGCAGGAGACGCTAGGTATACTGGTGGAAGGACCAGCTTTGTCTGGAGAACGTTATTGCTGTTTGAGAGGAAGATGAAATGGAAGACTGAAGCGAATTATAATTATCCTTGCATTTGGTATCACACCTTATCAGATGGTCGAGGCATCACAAAGAGCTTCACAGGAATTTACTGTAAAGTGGAGCGATTGTGTATTTGTAGGTGAACACAGCAGACAATTTGCACGTAGCAATAGTCCACAAACAGCCACGAAGCGAATGGCTGGGTTCATCTTGGGGATTGTCGGCCGGGAGACCGGGACGGGAGAAACTCCCTCCCTCTAGCCGAATAGTGCCACTGGTTCCTTAACGTCCACCTGAGCAGGCCAACAGGAGTTCAGGTAAACATCTCCTCTTGAAGGACAGCACCTCCAACAATGCAGTGCTAAGACTGTGCGAGTTCAAACTCCTGACGTGGGGCTTGAACCCTCAACCTTCTGACTCAGAGGTGAGAGTGGTACCGACTGAGCCAGGCTGACACATACCTGGCGGCTACGGGTGGAATACCCACGTTAGGAAATCAAACGGACCGTCGATGTCAAGCCGGGCCGACACTGTGCGTTTAAATTGCCATTACATCATCTCCGCCGTCAAAGTTATTCTCTGACCAACACGTTTAATTAAATTCATTTTTATGCTGCGAAAACGCAGACTCAGCAACCTTCCTGTAATGTAGGAGTCTCGTGGGAGAGGGTTTGTCTATTCTCAGTGTATTTTTTTTTTATCTCGCCGGAATTCACTTGTGATTCTCTAGCTGATGTGTTGCTCCTCATCAATAAGAATACGGTCATGCCATCCGGTTTACATTTATGCAATGTAATGACACAGCGCCTTATCATTTCATTCTGACGTCTCAAAGAATATACTGTGAAAGTGAATTGACTGTACATTTTCTGGGCGAAACGCGGCAGCCAAATACACACAGCAGTGTCCCACAAACATTCTGCACTGAGTGAGCAGGTGGTTATTTTTCTTTGAAGGGTTTATTAGCCTCGTAAAAGCGATCTGCCGATAGACAATAAGGATGTCTCAAAGCACTTTACGTGGCTGGTTAACCGGACACCCGAGCTGGAACGTTGAGGAGGGGGATGGGGGGAATGGATCGATTAAAAATGTGGTGAATGAGGTAAGTCAAGGCAGGTTTTAAAAGTGAGGATGGGAGGGGGTGGGCGAGTAGCCTCATCATGGGCGTTGAGCTGAAGGGAGAAGATGAGGCCATCTGCAAGTTTATTTTACCAGCACAACAATCATTTGCAGGAAGAAGGAAGTGGAAGAGGGAGAAGGAAGTGGATGGGCGGGTGGGGGGAGTTTTAATAACATAAAGAGGATGTGTTGCTGTTTCTCCAAACCACATAACCACTTTCCAACTTGCTTGGAATGCCAGTTTTGCCCAAAAGATGGACTGAGATGGTCAGTGCAGCACTTTGCTATGATAATGTTTCGAAATTGAGTATTTTTAGGGAATGCATTCCATTATCCTAACATTGGAGTGAGGGCCTTCCATTTGCCAATTCAATTTCAAGGTTGTTTTCCCCAATTACTTTGCCTTGGAATGGGTAAATTCATTTGCCGCGCAGTTAGTGCAGCTATGATTGATGCTCCTTCTGGAAAATAATAAACGAATTACCACAATGATGTAATGGGTCCTTAAAAGAACTCTAATTATATTTCTTTTCAATCTGCTCTCTGAATTATCACAGGGAAAGAAAATGGATTCAAATCAGGAAATAGCATCGCCGGTGAAGGAGATCTTGGAAATGTCATTAATTGAACAAGAGAAAGCAACGGTGGTTTGACAAAGAGTGAGAAGGGGAAAAAAAAAAGAGCAACAATGTGCTTCTAATAAGACCTAAGATTCTAATATGATATCTTGCTGTAATGATCAGGCTATAGAAATGGTTTTGATATTCATACAAGTAGCTCCATATACAGCATTATTAAACCAGACATTAACCCTTCGCCTGAACACAGCCTGAATGAAACTGGGGGCTTTCGTCAACACACCTGCATTCGAAGGCTGAGCAACACTGAATTAGAGAGAAAGAGAGGGAGACACAGACACGCGCACCACACACACACACACACACACACACACACACACACAAGACATGCAAAATCGAGCAAAGGCAAAGCGGAGGGATATTAAGTCATAGAACACGAGGCTAGAGGCACGTGACGAGGAGAGCAGGGCAGAACAAGCGAAACAGTTAACAAAAACACCAACACAGCTTTTGAGTGTGAATTTAGGGAAAAAATGTATTCTTACCATTGCTGAGAGCTGGCCGCACACCTGAACCTGCTCGCAATAGGTAGGAATTAATGGCGAACTCTTCGTTAGGGTTGGACTCAAGACCAGGATGGGTAACGCTGTTGTCAAGCAATGGCATTTGGCAGTCTTTCACACTAGAGGATGAAGGGTGGGAGCTGGTCTGCTGGGCAAATGGGTGGCTGGGCGATGATGAGGGGGGTATGCGAGGACCTGGGGAAAAGACAGCCAGAGAGGATCAGTACAGGGTTAAATCACACAATGCAAAGCACACTCTCAGATACTGTAAACCAGACCGATTGACAAATTACACTTACTGTCTGAACGAGCCATTTCACTCTCACATACTCAGGAAATTGGTTTATCTTCCACAAAATACTACTTTGATTGATAGAAATCACCAGAATGCTAAGCTCTCACCCACCCACCCCACCCCGCCCCGAGTATAATATAATTCATTCGTCCGTTAAAAGACCAAATTGTTAATTTGTGAATGGATTACTTTGCTCGATAAAAATATATATTTTTCCTTGGTCAACCAGGTATCTGACACATGTGGAAACCCATCACCCATGCTTAAGAGTGTCCAAAACAGACTGAGAGTTCCACACATGTACACTAATTATGCCTGGAAATCTCCTTGTGTCCGGAAATGAAATGCAAACTCGCTCTCTCTCTGGAGGGACGCGCCCAGCTTACCCAATTCCAGAGAGTATTAGGCCCAGGTTGGCAAGAGTCAAGGCTTGGGGACCCCCAGAGTGTAGTTTGGTGGTACTGCTGGAGTTTAAACAGCTAAATCTGCATAGATTGCCATCCGCAGCCCTACCTTGGAAGCTTTCCAGTGCTTATCCAGGTGAGAGCATCCCAATTTTAGGACTCTGGCTTGCAGGGTTAACAGGAGCTGAAAGGGAATAATCCCTGTCTCCTTGTATCTCACATAATAATGTATAATAATGTAATATTTTATATTATGTGCCTCACCAGGCCTCTTATCCATCAGATCTAAACTGACAGGTGATCCTGACAGCCTTACACAGCAACGGCTGAAATGTGTTTAAAAATTTGTTTAAATTCAAAACTCACATTTTTTTTAAAACAAAAGACAGATTTTCCAATCACTGATGTCTAACCCCAATCATAGTATAAAAGTCTCCCGTTCACCTACACAACACACAGTCACTACACTGTCCAGTAATTGCGGCGACGTGCTTTAAGGCATGACATGAAAGGAGCTACAGCAAACGCAAGGGTTACAATTCCTCCCCCCCCCCCCCCACCACAACAACCATTTACTTTCGGCTGATCCGCTAACAGGGTAACAGAGTGCACATATTCTAATGTAACATTCACTCGATGCCATGTACTCACTGCATGTGGGCTGATCTTTACTGAAGATTCCACTAATTCCGAGGGCTCCACATTATGGCAACAGCAAACAGAGCAACCATAACTAATGGCTGATCTAACTGGGTCCCTCGCTGCTGATACAGAAGAGATTTCTGGTGGAGAGGCACTCACTGGAAGACAGAGCTCTTCACTGCTGCTACCTTCCACTTGCTTATGAATATCAGTTAGCAAATGCTAATCGCAATCACCACAGGTCTATGTGTCTTCTCGTACATGCGGCATTATCCACATGACTGGATCACACAGGAATTCTTGGCTACCTCGGGAGCCAGTAAATTTATTGACATAGAGGTTACAATTAAGCAAACGGATGTTTAGGGTGGGTTCGGACGACCTGAGGAAGGATGTTATTCCCGCTAACTGGCAGCTTATGTGATTCATAATCCTTGCATTTGACACAGTGCCTCACCACGTCATTGAAACGTCTCAAAGTGCTTCACAAAATATACCGTCAAGTCAATTGACTGTATATTTTGAAAACGTCTCCCACAAAACATACTTTTGATCCAGATATCGCTCGTCACTTTTGTCAACGGTATAGACCAGTCTCTTAAGTCAGGCAATGGTGTACAGCGCCCGACAGTAGAGGGGAGAGGAGAGACGGTTTAAACAGAAAGAGGAAATGCCACATGCTGAATTAAATAAAACAGGAGAGTAAATTGAATCTGTACACGATATTAATGCAGGGTCTCTCAGGAGTGCTTCACGGAATAATTTCTTGATGATATGCGCTTTTAAAAAATATATTAAAAAGGAAAGATGGAATGTGTTAACCTTTTATCCCGGTCGGTGTCTCTTTGGATCATTAGAGGCTAAAGGGCGGCCAGCCTTGATTGTATAAAAAGTGTTTCCGCGCTTGGATTTCAGTTCAGTCTTAATAAAAGAAGCTAATGTCAGGGTATGTTAACCGCTCAGTACTGACAGTTTAAGTATTTGCTAAATCTGTCTCTCAACAATTAGGCTGCACCACGTGACACACTTGAATCTCTGGCTGTTTACACAAGCTAATTTTCCGCAAACGCAATCTGGCTTCAATCACAAGACAGACTCTCATCACTTGCCTTTGAAAACACAATGAAACAAAACAAGGAGGCACAACAAATGGTTTAATGAAATCCTCGTCGGTGATAGATATGGCAATTGTAGATTTCGTTGGCATTTTAATTTCACTATCGACGCTTTTCGGACACATACTTGGAAAAAAAATAGACCAGTTGCACGTGAATAATAATAATAATAGTTGAATTTGATATAGTGCAACTGGATATCAAGGCATGTCCTTTGCCAAATAGTTCTTTGCAACAACTTAATTTTTATTACTACATTGACAATCCTATCATGCCATTATTTATTGAAGCGATGTCAGCCTGGCTCAGTCGGGTTGTTTCTTGAGTCAGAAGATTGTTTCTTGGGTCAGTATCTAAGCGCTCTGAGATTCTGTCCGGCGTAAAGGGCGCTATATAAATGCAAGTTGTTGTTGGCTTTTAAGCCCACACGGCTGGACTTCGAACTCACAGTCTGGGCTGACACTCCAGTACAACGCTGGGGGAATGCACTGCATTGTCGGAGGTGCCGTCCTTTGGTCCTGTCTGCCTGTTCAGGTGGACACTAAAGATCCATTGACACTATTGGAAAAGAGATGGCAGTTTTCTAAAGTCCTACAATCCCCCAGGTAAAAAAAAACAGGCACATTGTGTCTGTTTGCAGGATGTTGCTGCGCGCAAATCCACTGTTGCATTCTCCAACAGAATTCAGTCACTACACTTTACGGTAAATCATGTGAAGCACAGTGAGTCGGCCTCCTGATCCGAATGGCATTACTGTCCAATGAAAGGGTTTTTTTGTTACTGTGTGGGCAAAACAGTGTCATTTGCATCACAAGATAATAACAATAATAATCCTTGCATTTGATAGAGCGTCTTATCATGTCTCAAAGTGCTTCACAGAATATAATGTAAAGTGAAGTGACTGTACCTTTTGTGGGCGAAACACATACTATTAGATTCAATACTATCTGAAGGTTCAGGGACTTCTGGATAGAGTGGAGGAAGTATAGCCTCCAAAGCAGAATCCTAGACACAGCGGACATAGGATATTGTACAACGTTTGCTTGCTACCGTGTCTGTAGTGAGTTTTCATCCTTCACGACCTCCCACATTCTCTAACCTAGGCTTTGCCGCTCGCTCTGTGCAATTTACAACGTGAGTTGGAACCAGCAGACAGGTTTCGATGTCTTCACACGTAAGGTGGATTGTCAGAGAAAATGGAACGAGTTCTGTGATGTTCACAGTCTAAACAGCACGGCTTATTTTAGTTTGTGAGCAGCACTCCGCCACTCCTGGGTTTATAGCCGTAACCAGACAGCCTTTCCTTTTTTTAAATTAACAAACGAGATATCAAATTATCACCCCGAGTGGCAGATATGATATTTCACTGGTTTATGAATCAATCCATTTTTGCAACAAGTGTAAACACATTGCACACGTTTTCAAGTGGGGAAAAATGGCATCGAACAACAGTGAGGCTGAAATGATGTGCGGGAGGGGCGGGAGGCGGGGGGGAGAGAGGAGGAGGGGGATGAGGGAGGGGGAAAAGGTGCGGGGGGGGGGTGAAGGGGGGAAGAGAAGGGAGAGAATGACTTTCAAATATTCAACATGAAATACCACCTGCAGCAGATTAAGATTTGACACATCTGTAGTTTATCATATGTGACCAAAGGGCTCTACTTTTCCTGCCCCACTTGGAAGCGATTTACATAAGGCTGATTCCATCAAAGTGGGCGGAAAGCTCAGCTGCTAATGACAGCAGCAATGCGGTTTAGTCACAGACTGGGTGGGTGGGTGGGTGGGGGGGTGTGGGTAGAATGTTACTGAGAAAGGCTTTAAAAAGTTTTCGCAAGGAAGAAAGAACAAACAGAATAACGGGAAGAAAACGGAAGATGGCGACTGGTGTTTCTGATGGTTGCAATTTCGGACGCAAACAGAATCCGCTGTTACAGCGCAGTGACGTCTGGCTTGGGAATGCCTTCGTATTTTTTTATTTCCAGCTGGTGGGGAATGATTAATAATTCCAAAAATCCGGTGGGGATCGAATGGAGGGCGGCAGGGCTGGAAGATGCAGATCTGGAATTTGGTTGGGAACGTCTGGGAAGACTGAGTGGGGGGGGAGTGACTCTGGGATGCTATATAAAATCAAGTTGTTATTATTGTTGCTGAGGAGAGAGAGAGAGAGAGAGAGGGGCAGAGGCTGGCTTCCTAATTTATCAATCAATCTCTTATGATTTTATCCTGCACAGGAGTTTTATCCTCGTCTTCCAGCGTATGGAAGTGGGCGTCTGTGGCAAATGTCGCAATTAAAATATACACTTTAAAACATAGAAAAAAACCTCACAGCGATATACAGGTTACGGGGAAATGAGACGATTTCGTAACTTCAAACCATTCAAAATTGGTACAAAATTCAATGTATTAAAGATCTTTTAAAGATTTCTACATTGTATGTAACTGCCCCTCATCTTGCCAATTTCATAATCATTAACAAGTATCTCCACTGTTGTACTGTCCCTTTGATCATTTCCTCTCTTCTCTCGCGTTTGTCTAATGCGCATCACACTCGCATCAGTTCACGCCAGGCACCCAATGTAAGTTCTTTACCTCTGAGCCTCGTTAACACAGTGCAATTTACACTTACACTTTTACGTCAGGAGGACGTCTCGAAGCGCTCAATTCGACTGGCTGGGTCGTGGGGTGGTGGGACCTGATCAGAGAGGGAAGGGGAAAGTTTGACGAAACTGCTGTAGCTGATTT